ACTGCTACCGTCTTCACCTGAATAGAACACCCGGTAATTATTGCCGTATCTGGACTGAAAGTTGCACCAAATACAGCTATAATGACCGGCCATTCTATTCGGGTGGGGTGAAGACGGTAGGAACTGGCCCCCAGAGCATCAAACTTGGTGGGGTTGCCTTCACCTTTTGCCTTTCATTTGCATTTTAGAACACTTTGGATCGCTAACCGGCGTAGCTCAGTTGGTACACCACTGAACTGTCGAAATACAGACCTGAGTTCGAACTTCACTCGAACCAGATGAGTAAACAATACTGCGATTCTGACTTACCTAGGGCCAGTCAGTTCAAGGGGTGATATCTCAAGACCGTGGCCCTTTTGAAGGAAGAAAAAAGAACAGTCTGGATTGACCCCAGTAACAAGATTTGTGACAAGATACGCAATGTGGTGTGCTAAGAGAACGCGCAGAGGCTCTCCTCGTTGCACAGTGCAGTCTGTCCAGGTATAATGCTGGAAGGTTTACAGCACCTATGCTTGTTTTATGACCTGGCCCGTCCTCTCTCTGGGCCTGGTGGAGAAGTGGTCTGGGGGCGTTGCCTGGTGCGGCGGACCAACCATGGTCTGATGATTTTGTCCTGTTGGGATCTGCGGCCCATCCAACAAGGGTCCCGGGCCAGCTTGGGTACGCGGAAGAGACCTTGAGAGCGCCGATTCTCTGGACATTGTGGACATCGTGCAACTGTGTGCCATTGGCCAGCAGGGCAGAACGGCTGACTCCTCCAGTGCTCAGAGCAGAGACCAAGTACACCATAAAGCAGGCGATTTCAGCCCGCCTGGTCCCTCGTAGTGCAGCAGAAAGGTTCTGCCGGCAAGGCGACTCACCGATTTGTTTCCCTGCCAGTCGGCCTTTTCGGGTTTGGTGAAGGTCCAACAAGACCCTGCTGAACGACCGGAATTGCATTTTCTCCGCTATTTTTTTCTTTGACTGCCGCTGGGTTTCCTTTTGTAAACAAGCGAGTTACCTTGTAGTACATGCTTGGTTTTCTTTGTTCCTGAGCAAATTGGCTTGTATATAGTTTGTACGTAGTTATACCCTTTTCGCTTTCAGATGCATGTGCTGGTTTCCCTTGTTTCTTGTCAAACAGGTTAGTTCGTTAAACTTTGTTTCCATTTTCCGATCGAGTGAGTGGACTCTGTGCTGGCTTTTTCGTTCTCACTGTTGACTGGCTACCTGGAGTACAGCAATCTGGGTGTCTTGTGCACACTTAGAAAGATTAGGTTCCTGAAGAGTGTGCTGGTTTTTTGTTTCTTACGTTGTTGTTGGACAGGCTAAGCTTGCGTCAGAAAGATTGGGGTTTTGAAGCGCATGATGGGTTTTCCCATACATTGTTGGGCCGGCTAGCTTGTGCAAAATCTGAGAGGTCCTGGAAGTCATGTGCATATGTGCATAGAGTTTGGGGTCTTTTAGTGTTGTTAGGCTCTGGGGCTACCTTCTTCCCCCGAATACAACGTACGGTCATTATAGCTGTATTTGAGGCATCTTTCAGTTTAGATACAGCTATAATGACCGTACGTTGTATTCGGGGGAAGAAGGCATGCATATTGGAGTGTGACAGTTAGTTCGTCCATACGACGGACAGGTACCTTTTCTCCCGCCTTCAGACAGCGGCTGCGACTAGGACTCAGGGTAGAGTCAAAGGCCACCTGCCAGTGCCCCTCTGGACCTGGGTTTGACTATTTTTCCTGTGGACGTGGTTTCCCGTTTTGCGAATGGGGTATGAACCTGGCCGGAGTGCCCGGATCATACCGCAAGGTCGCCTTGCAGTAACTTGAAGGGACTCCACAAGGTCGCCTTGCAGTAACTTGAAGGGACTCCACAAGGTCGCCTTGCTGTAACTTGAAGGGACTCCGGACCCGTTTTTAAGCTGTATAATAAAGATCTTCTTCTTGTTATTAAAAAAAAAAGAAAAAAGAAAGAAAGAAAGAAAGATTTGTGACTAAGATGACGCATTGCCAAATAAACTTTCCTTGAAACAACCTTTCAGTATTAAAAAAAAAAATTCATTGCAACACTTTTGGGTTCAGACAAGTTAGACTCACTCGTTGCAACGACTCTTGTGGCCAGGTATGAAAAGGGATGCCTAAAAAATGAACGGACGGACGGGTACAATATAAGCTTCTATGACATTTCATTCCTCCTGATATCAACTTCTTGGAGGGGCCAAAGTACCTCAAAGATAACCGGGCTGTATAATAGTGCTATACACTCAGCCACCAGGCGATCGATCGCCTAATCAGCTTCATTCGGGATGGAAGCCAAGAACACCTTTGGACTTCTGCCTGTTTCCAAACCCCAAACAACATTTAGCCCCTGGAGAGTATGGAAAGATGATGGAACAGACTGTATGTAGAACAGTTACAGAAATCTATAATGGCTATCACAGAATAAAAAAATCAGCACAGATGGGTGTCCAGTTCGCAAGTAAGTGATAATGCTTGGGTAAGAGCATCCGCGTTTACACCAGTTACGCCAGACCAGGACATATAACGAAAGTTGACTCCACAGTATTTCAGTTCCTGGATCGATCATGTTAAACCACCAGTACTTGGCCCATACATCGGCCGCGGGCCATTGCCGTTAACGCTACGCAAAGTTCGGGCTTCGGGGTACCGGACCTCAACAATGGCTGGAAGCGCCAGCCAAAGAAATTCGAAACGGTACCCTGTCGCTTCGGCAAAAATCGGCGCGCCGGGGGATTCCAGGCTCGGCAGCGATAGCTGGGCCAAGTCCTGGTGGTTTTAAGGGGAACAAGGCCGATGGCCCTTCCTATGCCACTTCTCCGCTATTACCCGATGTTCTATGCATCCAAGCTCTTGCCTTATGTACACACACACACACACACACACACACACACACACACACACACACACACACACACTGATCAATCCCTTTCTTGCAGACCGACGCCGGCCCCCCAACCATGAGTGGACGTCAAGTCGTTGTCAATTGGTTTGTGGAGCACAGGATGATGCTTGTACACGAGCCGGAGGGCAACGGAAGACCACCTAAGCCATGATGTATGCAGTTCAGACTCCAGAGTGACTTTTAAGGGGACATTTGGATCTGAAAGAAGATCGGTGGTTTACGAGAGGGGAACCAATGAAGTCTGCACCTCAAGTGGTTCTGCAGTGCGAAAGGGCTTTAAAAGGGAAGCAAGGAAAATATCAAGGGTTCTGCAGAGGGCTTTGAACCTAAGGGGCTGGGCATGCAGGCCTCGGTGAGCCCAGAAGGGAGGGCCGCCTGGAGAGAAATGTGCCCAACCCACCCTAAGTGAAGGCCATGAGGACAAAAATATGCTGCCCCCCAAAGTTAAAGCCGTGGCAGCGAAAACATATCAGCCCTACGTGAAGTCCGCTGTGATACAGTTGAAAGGGGCGGCCGCACCCCAGCCTTTTCAGCTAACGAGCAGGCCTACTGTCTTCACCCGAATAGAACGCCTGGTCATTACGGCTGTATGTAGACTGAAAGTTGCACAAAATATATGGCTATAATGACCGGATGTTCGATTCGGGTGAAGACGGCAGCCCTCTGAGCTCTGAGTTAGTTATGGAGGCTGGGACCCATACGGAGGCTGGGGCCCATGCCCCGTCCCAGTTGGTTCTCAACCGCCCAGTGCACGACCTCCTTTCTTTTGTTTCTTTCTGGTGGATGTGCACTGTGCGGTTGAGGCTCCGTCTTCACCCGGAAAGAAACAAAAGAAAGGAGGCTGTGGCATTGCACACATTGGGGAGGCACTGGCTGCCAGCGCCAGCTCGGCTCAAGCGCACTACAGGCCAGTCCAGCGCTGAGAAGGATGTGAAGAGGCAAAGGAGCAGTTGCAGCAAGCTGCTCTGCCCAGCAGCTGCCACAGCTGCACTACAAGAGGAAGTGCGTCAGCGCTGTGTCTAAGGATTTGGGGAGAAGGACGGCCGCCGTGGGGACTGGTTGTACTTACCTGGTGATGGCCAAGGAGCACACTCGTGGTGGTCAGACGATGCACAATTGCTGGGTGAGAGGATAGTAGAGTGGGAAGACAGAGCGTGAGGAAGAGAGAAGTAGGGGATTGAACAGAGAGAGTAGGAGAGTAGCAACGGCGGTCACATCAGAGTAGAGCCGCTACATTGTTGTTGTATTGATTATTTTTATTGGAGGCGAGAAGTGGGGCTTTTTCTTTGTCCTGATTTGAGTCTTTTGCGGGTCAGAAAAGTTCGGGTTCCGATCAATTGGCTCAACTTCTCGTTTCTTTCTCTTTCAGCTCGCACTTGCAATGCAAAACTGGCCACGACAACTTACGGACATTACCAGCTCCTTGAATTGCTTCGCGGTCACCTGATAAACACTGCGAATTTTCATCTGGCTACTTTTGAGACATTCATTTTCATTTTCTCCTTAGCCCTTCGCAATAACAGTTGTGTGTGATGTCTCTTTGATACATTCTTCTTCTTCCCTTCCCTGTTTCCTCTTTTGTTCGATAGTAGGGGACTAAGGCCGAAGGGTTGATGGACGTACCATCGTCATAGACGTCATAGACGGGTTTTGTATTTAAAAAAAAAGAAAAAAAAAAAGAAAAAAAAAAGAGAATACCATGTTAGTGAGCAGTTGAAGATTGAACCAAGACTGGGATTTATAAACTTCGACTGAAGTTTACTTGGGCTGGGGGAGAACTGGTGGTGGTGGGGGGAGGAAGATAAAGGGGCGCGGGAAGGAGAGAAGGGGGGGGAAGGGAGGAGACGGAAAAGGAGAAGAGAGAGAACGAGACAGAAAAGGGGAAGGGCGTCGAGCTACATCGAGGAGAACAGCAAACTGAATATTAGGGAGGGAGGGAGGGAGGGAGGGAGGGAGGGAGGGAGGGAGGAAGGGAGGGATTGAGTGCGACAGCGAAAGCAGGCATTCAACATAGCTCAACCGGACTCCATCATGATCCTAAGTTACAAGGCTGGACTTCTATCAAGCCCTGAGATGTCCAGATCCCGATCACGATCTCGATCCTGACCCAGATCCAGATGACTCTACCTGATAGCCTCCGAGACAACCTGGATGTCAGGGTGCAAAACATCAAATTTTCTGAAACTGTTCAAATAAGACACACAAACATACTTCTGGGAAACAAGCTTGGCTTTGGCCTGGATTCAACATGCACGTGGAGGATACGTTCGACGGTGACGTGGCACATGCTCGATGTTTGTATGGATGCATGACCAGGGGGAAGGAGTCGTAAGCAAGGAGTGATTAATGTTCACAAGACGGTGAAAGTGGCTATGGCAAGCCAAAAGTGCAAGTCAATCGCCTTTCCTGGAGAACCGCCATTCCGCGCGCCATTCCCCTGGTCTGAGGAGAATACGATCTGTCATCCACCCTGCCTTCATCAGCTGCACACACACACGCACACACACACACACACACACACACACACACACACACACACACACACGCACAAAAACATACAATTATTAACTATTTCTTCTGTCTTTTCCATTTTCCCGCTTTCCCCCCATCTCCACCCACACACACGCACACACACACACACATTCACACACATAACAGGAAGCCAAAAAAAGCCAAAAAAAAAAACAAAAAACAAAAAAAACAAGAGGGGTAAGGGGGAAAAAAATAAAAATCAGGAAGGAACAGGGTTGTTTGCGGTTGGAATTTTTCAGTTTCATGAAACACTGCGTTTTTCCCTAAGGTGTCAACAAAAATGTAGGGGCACTCTTGTTCAATGCAACACTGAGGGGCCTGGAGAGGGGGAAGCAAAAAGGGGGGGGGTAGGAGCACACTAGTCTGATTTTGTTATATTTTTATTTTCTATCTTCAGTTAAGTTCAATCCAGTAAGGAATTCTGAGGTAAACCCCAGCCAAAGTTGTCTGCATTGCAATTCTGCATACAGAACTTTCTTTATCCCATAATTTTATTATTTATTTATTTATTTATTATTATTATTTATTTTTTTTTGGGTTCTTTTGGCGTGGGAGCTGCCTGGAACTCGACTGAGCATCCTGGCATGTCCAGCCACCGCCAGGTGGCCCGCATGCATGCACGGAATTGTGCAGCATTGCAATACACACAACTTTTGGCCTAGTGTAATTTTGAAACCCGCAAACAAACGACATTAAAAAAAGAGAGCGAAAAAAAAAGTATTTTCGGGGCACCCCGTCCTCTGCATCAGGTTGAGATGTCCGGACCCAGTCTGGACCACCCCCAGTGTCTGGTGTTCAGATAGGTCCAGTATTTGGGTCTGCGGTAGCTATGTTTGCCAGCCTTACCCCATCAATAAAATCTGTATAAACTTCACTCATCCACTGAGATGAGTCGTACCCCGAAGTATCCTTGAGCTGGCCGCGTCTGAAAGATTCAAGCTCGTCCACAAGTCTCAATGCATGGACGTAGGCGCGCAAAATGTCACCCGATGTCGCGTGCCTGTGGAGAACGACAGAGATGGACGCACTTCCAGGAACCAGCATGTACTTCTCTGCAAAGTCGTGGGCACAAGGAAACAATTCGTTCACCCCGTCAATCATTTTAAGCAAGCCTATTCAGCAAGGCCACCGCAAACAAAGCGAAACCAGAGCATGAGCATGATGCGAGCAGAATTGTTGAGAATGGTAAGAGTCCGAACATCTGTGACTTTTTGAAGTCCCCACATCTGTGCATTTTGTGAGCAGGGTCTTGAGAACGCCAAGCCAGCCAACGAACACAGCTGCAAGAACAGCCATATAAAAAATCACTACTTTCTGTGATTAGTAGATCACACACACACAGACACCACCCACCCACCACACACACACACACACACACACGAACACACATACAGACACACACACACACACACGCACACACACAGAGGGCAGTTTTTTTACCTTTATTTGGTTTTTTTTTTTTTCTGATTGAATCCTTGATTGATTGATTGGTGGGGGAGGGGTCACCCCCCCCACACACACACAGACACACACACACACACACACACACACACACACACACACACACACACACACACACACACACACACCCACAGTGCTGATGTTCGCCCATGATCTAACGGTCCTCTTTCGTGCCAGAAAAATTCCTTGTTCCAAGCCCTCGCTAGAGCTATCCAAGCCTTTCGAATAGCATGGAAAAATTCCTTGTTCCACAGTGATGATGTTCCGTATAGTATCATATTACAAAATATCGGTGGTTAGAATCCCTCCTCATCCGTTCGTGAATGTTAATTTAGGGATGATGAATTCACACACACACACACACACACACACACACACATACACACACACACACACACACACACACACACACACACACACACACACACACATACACACACACATACACACACACACTCGCTCTGCCCCGCAATGCTGATGTTCGCCCATGATCTAACGNCTCGCACAAGAGAAGAGGTTCTGCGCCAGCCCTTATTTTGCAACCCAGGAATCAAGAACGCCCAGGGGAAACCATTTACCCTTACACTAAGGGACACCAAATGGGGCAAATGGGTGGAGCATGGGGTGTGGCAAATCAAGCACCTCTGGGAAGACAGCAACAGGCGATGGAAGACAAGCAGAGAGCTCAGAACTCAGCTGAAAGGAAGCCACAAACTAGAAGAACATCTTAACGACTTGGTTCAGGCCATACCGCAGGAATGGACAAGACTGCTCCGAAAGAAGTCCCAGTGGGGACTAGGGGACTGGGCGACATGGAAGCAGGATGAGGAACCACAGGCTGCATTCAGAATCTGGAATCAGGAACTGGAAAGGAAGGAATGGGCGGTTGCCGATATGTACGAAATCAAGCGCCCGCCGCCCGGGAAGTACCACTCGCCAGCTGGACCAGGCAACTAAAACTCCGATCGCTATCCAACTGCAACACCTGCGCAAAGTAAGGGTGGTAGAGTCTGACAATTTCACAATCTACAGTCGAACTACGCCATTGGTGGATTTGGAGGTGGAACCGCAGAATGGGCATGGAATCTTAAGAGGAGGAAGAACTGGGGTGGCCAGAAGAATCACCCTTTACACCGGAGCAACTACCCAAAATACCGTGGCTACAGATCAACGCCATACGCATCGGAAGGGTCAGAAGCCTGCAGTGGCTAATCGCCCACGTGGCACTGCCAGTAAACGACTGGTTAAACGATCGCAGGAGCCGGGCACAGAGGGATCCAGCCAACGCACAGTGTGTAGTCTGTCAAGAGAGAGACCCAGAAACAATGCTTCACTGTCTTCTAATATGCCCCATGGGAGAAAGTCCAGTCCCTTCGGAGACAAATCACGTCGTCACCATTCCCTGAGAGCAAAGCAACCATACTGCTAGGCCATGACTTGCCAAGGAACTGGCAGCCATACGAGATATCATATTCCAACTAATAAGGCAGTATACCCTCTGTCTCTTATACACATCTAGATGTGTATAAGAGAAAAGAGAGAGAGAGAGAGAGAGAGAGAGAGAGAGAGAGAGAGACATGTGGAGACGAAGCACTATCTTCAGAATCAGCTGCATAAAGGACATAGATGCACTATGAAATGGAGATAGGAAGAGGACTTAGGGGGTGACTGCCACATCCACTCAAGAAGAGGTGCTGTGAAAAATTTGCGTCGTAAACCTTGTTGTATACCTCATGAGGGCGTGGCGAACTGAGGTTGCACTCTTCAAATTAGGGGTTAGAAACATGAGGGATTTTTTCTCTCTCCCTTCCCCCCCCCCCCCAATCATTCTCAGAAGCTTTGGATCTGGCACTCACCCCCTAAGTCCTCTTCCTATCTCCATTTCATAGTGCATCTATGTCCTTTACGCAGCTGATTCTGAAGATAGTGCTTCGTCTCCACATCCCTCTCTCTCTCTCTCTCTCTCTCTCTCTCTCTCTCTCTCTCTCTCTCTCTCTCTCTCTCTCTCTCTCTCTCTCTCTCTCTCTCTTTCTGGACCCGGATCAACAACTCAAGGCCCTACAGACCAAGTGGGTGATCAAGTTGATCACCCATCCAAAGCTACCCCGGGTCTCGTTGACCCTG